GGGTGGCCGGTGATGCAGCTCAAGCAACATCCTTATTAGTACAATAAGGTTAATTAGTGTGTGATGCCATTGAGCAAATTCCATTTTTTGTTGTAACCTTGGAGGATTTTTCATGCAGCTCACAAAACGTACGTGTCACGCTGATGGTTGAATACCAGAGCTGAATTAGTCAGTGCAAAGGTATAATCATAAATCTGATTTGATTTCCAGATAAACCATCTGCACAGTACAAAACTATGACATTTGTTGGTTTGAACAAACAAGAAGCCTTATTTTCACCTGGTTTTTTTTGTTTGTTTTTTGTGTGTGTGTGTGTGTGTGTGCAGAGTAGATTATTTTATCCGGCTGAATGAAAGCAGATGCAATGATCAGCCTGTGTAATGCTTGAAGAAACATAAATGCAATTGAGGTCATTGGTATATGTATTGAAATACAGATATCACTGTGGAAAACAGCCAAATTTCACTTCATCCTGTGTGAATACGGCAGCTTCATTATACATGACAGTTCAGGCAAGTTTGCTATGAATAATCTGCACTTTCATATTCTGTCTTGTAGCTTCAAAACAAATATTTAAAGGGGTCATATGATGCTTCTAAAAAGAACATTATTGTGTGTATTTGGTGTAATGAAATGTGTTTATGCAGTTTAAGGTTAAAAAAAACACAATATTTTCCACATGCTGTACATTATTGTTTCTCCTCTATGAAACAATAATGTTTCATATTGTTTCTCCCCGCCTTTCTGAAACACGTCTATTTTTACAAAGCTCAGTCTGAGAAGCGAGGTGTGCTCTGATTGGCCAGCTATCCAGTGCGTTGTGATTGGCCGAATACCTCAAGCATGTGACGGAAATGTTACGCCCCTACCATACTGTGATGCCCTGTCCGGCCGGAGCGACGAGACAAAAACATGAAAACCCATTATAAACAAAGCATTTGTTGCATCCAGTTGGGACATACAGTAATTACGGATTATAATGACTTATACTGTCTTTTAACGCATTGCATCGCGCCATGTAAACATAAAACCTTATATTTGGATTTAACAGTTTGACTATAAAGTGTTACAGCTAACAATATTTTTCTTTAAGTTGGTATGAGTCAAATCAAAACATCTTCATCTTTCATAGACACTCACTTACAGGTTAGGTTTCTACAATTCAAATAAACTCGTAAGAACGAAACTTCTAACTTTTTAAAGAAACAGATCTCCAAAAAAAATAAAAAAAATAAATTGCTTATCCTTAGGCCATGCAAGAACATTTTGTTTCTTCATGGGAACAGATTTGGAGAAATGTAGCATTCCATCACTTGCTCACCAATGGATCCTCTGCAGTGAATGGGTGCCGTCAGAATGAGAGTCCAAACAACTGATAAAAACATCACAATAATCCACAAGTAATCCACACCACTCCTGACCATCAGTTAACATCTTCTGAAGTGAAAAGGTGCGTGTTTATAAGAAACAAATCCATCATTAAGGCATTTTAACTTTAAACTCTCACTTCTAGCAAAATACGAGTCCATAATAATGTTTTCTCCAATGTCCATCCTCTGTTGTCCTCTCACATCAAAATCTTGTTTAGAACTATTTTGGACTATATTTTGCTTATAAACGGTGCTTGATCTGCTCATATTTCTCTCCTGATTCAGACAAGATGACTTTTTCACAGGAGAAGCAATATTATGGATAGAGGACTCGTATTTTGGCCTGAATGCAATGGTTTGAAGCTAAAAAAAATGTCATAATGGCTGATTTGTATCTCACAAACAGCTTTTCACAAGATGTTAACTGATGGACTGGAGTGGTGTGGGTTACTTGTGGTTATTGTGATGTTTTTATCAGCTGTTTGGACTCTCATTCTGACGGCACCCATTCACTGCAGAGGATCCATTGGT